TGAGATAGGCTCCTTTTTCTCAAAAACTGCCCAGTTATACCTACGGCTGCAAATAGGATTAACATGGCAGAAAAAGGGGGGCGAGCCTGCCCTGCGTGTCGTGAAAATCTTTAGAAACCAAATATCGCCATACTACTTGCGTGGGCCAAGGGAGCCCGTGGAATTATGACTCTACTTGCAGCGGTCGTTAAGCGAACACGGCAGTTTGGAAGCGAACTGATAGTCTGGGGTAATTTTGCCGAAAACAAAGTCAGCGCCAGTTTTTGGCAAAACCATTCTAAAAATATGACTACGTGACTACTGTGAGACTCTGCAAATAGTTATAAAGGCAGCAGGGTTGCCTAGAACCAGAAGGGTGGACATATGACGGTGGGGGGGGGCTCTTAACCGTCAGAACTTCAGATCTGGGTTTTAAGTGCTTTTTTTTCCAGTAGGTTGTAGCTTCAAACAGTCCCTAAGCAACCAGTCGTAAACCAAGGACTAGCTAAAGAAGGATTTGATGCTAACTAGGCTTCTGCTCCCTCCTGAAACTGAAGCTGTCCGTTTGTCTCTTTAGATCCTGCTGGTTCACAGACTGGATGGGCATAACTCCTTCTCCTACATACCCGTCTTTGTTCCGCTGTGGCTTTCGCTGATAACTTTGATGGCCACAACCTTTGGCCAGAAAGGGGGCAATCACTGTAAGTATCCGACCGCAGAGCTCTGCTTCCTGCTTCCAGCTGGGATTCAAGTGCAGAGAAAGGGGAAAAAATAAAGGAGAATCTTTGTAGCTCAGGGTTGAATTGTGGAAGATCCTTGGTGCTCTCTGAGCTTGGTGATTTTCTTGCAGATGTTTTATGACCCACCTAGGTAACATCATCAGTGCTAGAAGGGAAGGGAGGGTTGGCAGAGAGGAGGAGGAGGATTGGGGGGTCCTTAGTGCTCACTGAGCTTGGTGGTTTTTCTGCAGATGTTTCATGACCCACCTAGGTAATATCCTCAATATTAGAAAGGAGGAGGGGTCTGCAGAGAGGAGGAGAAAGACTCAGGGGGTCCTTGCTGCTGTCTGAATTTGATGGTTTCCTTGCAGACGTTTCATGACCCGTCTAGGTAACATCATCAGCGCTAGTAAGGGGTGGGGTTTGCTCTCAGTTTATATTCTAGTGCCTCGCCCTGTCAGTAAACAGCCCAACCAAAGACCCTCCAAGACCATCTCCACCAACACGGACAGGGCCAGCCACTAGAACAGGGGTGTCAAACTCGCCACGTCACGTGACGTGTCATGACATATCACAACTTTTTCCCCATTGCCAGGGCTGGGGTGGGCGCGGTTTCGGCATGACGCATCTGACCCACAGGCTGGCAGTTTGACACCCCTGCACTAGAATATAAACTGAAAGCAAACCCCACCCCTTTCCATGTTGCCTAGTCGGGTCACGAAACAGCTGCAAGAAAACAAGCCAAGCTCAGAGACCACCCGGGACCCCCCCCTCAAATGGGACGGGCGAGTGACCGCCAACAACTTTCTTTTGCGCAGGGTGGTTCGGCGTTCGCAAAGACTTCTGCCAGTTCCTCCTCGAGATCTTCCCGTTCCTGAGAGAGTACGGCAACATTTCGTACGATTTGCATTACGAAGATAACGAGGAAACGGAAGAAACTCCGGTTCCGGAAGCGCCCAAAATCGCTCCGATGTTTCGCAAAAAAGCCGGGGTGGTCATTACGCAGAGTCCCGGGAAGTACGTCATACCACCGCCCAAACTGAATATCGACATGCCGGATTAAAAACGAACTCTGAAAGGACAGATGTCTCCATGTGATAATCACCACCGGGTATCCGTGGCCAATCCTTATTCTTATTCTTATTTTATTATTT